CACTCTGTCTTCCAACATACCCCACTCTTGGTGTCTCCCAGAAAGACCCCTTTGGGTCCTTGTTTAAGCTTCCTTCTCACTAGGATAACTGTCCCTTTTTAACTCTCCCACTCGCAGCTTAAATGTCACTTCTAGAAGTCGGTTTTGATTCCAGTCTGGTGAAACGCCCTTCCTAGGTGTATCCCTCACACCCACATGAGGTGTATCCTTCATAGCTCACATGCTCATCTCCATCACACAGCCTTTCACATGGGCGATGTTTGGAGACTTGACTGTTGTCCCTGACCTTCAAGAGCGAGGACACTGCAAGTGAGCAGCCAGCACAACCACAGTGCTCGTCGCATAGAAAGTGCTCAACAAGGATCTGTCGAATGCATAAAGGACTTCAGGAATCCCTAGTCTCTGACCGTCCCGAATTCAAGCCCCTCATCTGCCCCTTACTAGCAGTGTGCCCTCCAGAAAGTTAATAACGTACCCTAAGCCCCAGTTTCTGCTCTGTAAACAGAGATCGACATCCTTCCCCAAGTTGCTCTGAATGGGTTTGTGCTTCTGTAAGCATCTGCAGTCGATACAATGCTTGACCCTTTCTTCTCTTCCAAGTCCTACATTCAACTCCAGGAAGCCAGAATTCAGTCCCGTTCTAATTGGTATCCCTAGTACCGGCCCTATGATGGGTTCCTAGTGGGAACATAATAGCTGTTTGATCAAAGAATGTTTGAGGGAAGGCAGCCAAGTTAAAGAGGGAAGAAGAAAGAGGCAACACAGGGAATGTGAAAAATGGAGAAAAGAGACAGAGAGAAACAGAAGGCAGACACTTTTCTCTGACTTGCTTATGTTATGGGAGGCTCATCTGCTTTCGAAGGACTGGGCTGAGCACACTCTCTGCCCTCAGAGATAACCTGCCCAGCTCACTCCAGCCTCAGCGACAGCAGGGAGACATGGTGCCCATGTGACTGGCCTAGCTCCCTTACTGGAAGCAGCTGCACAGACAGCAGCCTGAGGCTGGAGCTCCAGGAGAGGATTTCACAACCTCTGGGGCTGAGCTTCAAATAAGTTTCAAACGTTGTTTATGTACATTTATGTGTGTACTTTTCCTGGGTCTCTTCTGATTGCAAGGAGGCCCAGCCTTGCAAAACAAGCTCAGAATGTGCCTGAGTTTTTTGTTCTTGCTGATAGTCATGGAATGTACCGGCCTCCTGATGTCAGATCTGGGAGAAACCGAGGAGCTGAAAACAAAGAAGACATCCAACTCCAGTGGGTCCCTCCCAGAGCACGTGAAGTGGGATGGCTCAAACTGAGGTAAAAACAACTGGAGAGGGTTTAGACTGGTCCATATATTGATTGAATTCCATCCAGGAAAAAAAAAACCCAAACATGTGAGGCAGAGTTATATTTCCTTTTCTCCATCCTTTCCCCCTAAGCAGTAACAATAAGATAGTAGCCTGAATCCGTGTTAATCATCTTCCTAGAAGATGGGACTGGTGGAAGCCCATGAAGATGGTAATCATCCATTTCCCTTATGCCTGTCTCTGGAGCAGTGTGGACAGTTGCCTTCAAATTGGTGGAGAAGGAAAGAGAAGATGCAGTCTTGGATGAAAAATAGGGAATTGGACCAGATCACTGATTCTCCATCCCAGTTGCCATTAGAACCACCTGGGGAGCTTCTAAAATCCCAAATGTCCAGACCTCATCCCAGACAAGTGAAATAGAACCTTTGAGGTGGGATCCCAGTATCAGCGTTTGAATGCTCTTCAGGTTATCACAATGTGCAACCATGTTGAAAACCACCAGATTCCACGAACCCCGATTTCTGAAGCTCCCTTACATCTCTGTTTAAAATTAGGAGAGCCTTTCTAAATCAAGCAATTTCGGGGGGCTTTTTCCTGGTCTTTGCAAGTCTGAAGCCTTGGAATGTCATGTTCACATATGTGTTTTAGAAAGAGCATGGCATAGCTATATACTGGAAGCAGAGGGATGGTTTCAGCAAATGCTTAGCGAACTCTTTACATTGTAGGATCAGATGTGTTGCTGGCCTGCTATTTAAGTGGTTTCTTCTGGCACTTGATGTTGGATGTTGGCTCAGGGATTTCCTGGGGGTACCAAGGAACAATAGGACTGTGAGCCCACCCCGGAAAGAAGGAAGACAGGGTGATGGCAGACTGAAGGCTCATGTCTCCTGCTGTGGCCCCATTTGTGTTTTCCCTGACTTGGGGCTTGGACAGCTCTGAGGAGGTGGGCACCAGTCCCAGGGAAGGGTGTGGCTCTGGGCTTAGGCACCCCCAGCCCTCAACTCTGTGGTAGAGGCTGGAGGCACTCAGCCCTTTCGGCAGGCAGCCTCAAAGGCTCTGTTGGTGGGCCCCTGTCTGCATCTGTAGGGCTGGGGTGGGTTAACTGGGGAGGATGGGGCACACAGGAACAGAGAAGGAAGCATTGCCAGGTTTCTGTGAGGTCAACATGTGTTTGAAACCATTCAGAATGTAACTGAGAATGTAATTAGGTGATTTTTGTTTTTGTTTTTGTTTTAAAGGAAAAATTCAGAACCTGTGACTCTTGTTCACGAGCACATGCCTAGATGTGGTCATTTTGAGTTTATGGAAAATGTGGTCAGCCCCATAAATCAGTGCTGAGGAATTCTTACAGAGTCATTGCCATGCAAGTAATGGAGATCTGTAGGGAGTCTCCTACAGTTATGCAGGACAAAAAAGAATACACATGTAGACACAGCTATGACATAGTCCTCCCTCACCTGGAACTCTTTCCTGAGTTGCCACAAGGCAGCTTTGAATGCCCATTCCTTCCTAATCTGTGACCTTTGTTGTATAACTCTGTGTACATCAAGATGTCTGTGGCCATCGTTGTGTCGTGACCTACAAAGACACAGTTCTCTGCATCTGTTCCTCCCACGTGTCTTAACATTTTATCAGGATTTCTATAAAGCAAGCCCATTTAAAAGTAGGCTGGACAATCATAACTTGTGACAACGCTGAGCACATGGTTAAAGGTATCCTAATTCATAGACCTTCTGTACTTCAAGTCTATTATTTTGTGTGATTGGAGAATGAAAATTCAAGGTGGTATTGTGTTTCTCAAAAGTGTAAAGAACATCTTCAAGTGTTAATACAAACGTTTGGTCAAAATTAGTAAGCAAGAGATTCAGTTTAGGCGTGATTCATTGGAGGACATTCCATCGGTTTGCGTTCCATTGTTGGATTTATCCATTTAGCCTTTTCATGCCAAACAGTGTTGGTTCTGTATCTTATCCATGATAACATCCCCTACTCCTTCTCAGGTTGACTCAGCTTATGAATTTGTTTCTGCCAATCTGGTCAGTGGAGAATGGAACGTTAACAAATTTTAGTGGAGATGTTTTTCAGGTGCTCTGAAAAAAATGTTCTTGTACGCTTGACCAACATAGTCTGCCACGGAAAAATAGTATGGCTGAACCTGAGTTTAGGGTATCTTATTGTTTTTTTCTTGATCTGTTAGATGAGTCTCATGCATGCTAGAACAATTCCTTAATTTCCCACAGAAACCAGATGTATAACTTGTAAGGCCAAATACCACCCTGAGTACAAAGTTTATGGCCTGGGCTCATTTTTGTTAACTGGAGAGTTTGTACTTTAACATTTGCCATTGCAGTGTGTTCTTGTTGACTTTGACAGACAAAATACAAATTCCGTATGCCATGAGGGCCAAGTCAGCCCTGCATTTATATGACCTGGTTTCTTTTTGCCGCAACCTGGGGGCAGGAAAGCTAATTGCACAAGCTATGAAACTTTAGACCAAATCCCCTCAGCCACAAACCACTCGTTGTCATCAGTACAAAGGAAGAGGGGCCTGCCTAACAGGCTGTGCTCTTGAGTTTTACGAGCTGTGCCTCGTTGAACAGTGGGCAGGGTAAGTAAAGCTGTGGGCTTACCTGATACACGTCAGTTGCAATATGCTTTGAATTTTTGTATCAGCCCTTCACAGGCAGTAGAAAAGCGTGACGTAAATAATCATCATAATCACCATCGATTGAGCATTCCTAGGTGTTCAGCATTGGGCCAGATTCGTTACAAGTATCTTCTCCCAACAGCCACAGCATCATTTACTTTATAAAGATGGAGCTCAGAGAGGTTAAGTAACTTGCCTGGAATTTTCCCGCCAAGAAGGAAGTTCTCTACCTGATTTGAAAGGAATTTCAAATCGGACACCTTTATTTTGCTTTTGGGCTATGTGCCTGACATCCAGAGAAGTGGATGGAAGATGTGGTTTGCTGGTAGTTAAGGGAGGATTTCGTCCCAAGTTTGTTTTGTAAAATTTAGGGAGAAGACAGAGCAACAGTGTGATTTCAGCAGAACAGGATTTGTTTCCAGCACTGTTACTTTGGGAACAGAACAAGTTATTCAGTTTCTCCTGTCCTTCATTTTCTCATTCACAAAATGGAGATGGACTAGATGGTTCCTAGCGGTCTCTGCTGACTCCTCCTTTTCTGCCTCCTTGTAGTTGGAGACACTCTAAGCTTGGCCCTGACAGTTTTGGGGCAAATCCTTACCAGGGTAAAAGGACCTCCTGAGGTCTTAGACCAGTTGGGTCTGACACCTGCTGGAAGAGGGTGGATGTTTTCTGTGGCCTCCATTCCCTTGCCCCACCTTGTGGCTCTGGCATCTTGTACATCTTGTTGGTCACCACTGGCCACCGCTGCTGGGGAGCAGCAGGCCTCTCTCCTGGCACAGCCTAGGGAAGGGCCACTCCTGCCTCTTTCACTTGCTGTACCTACAACATAAGAAGCTCAAGTCCTAGGAAGTTTAACTCAACCTATTTCTGTCAAGATCCTTTCCAGAAAAGCAAGTCAACACTTAAGGTCTTGTAAAGAACCCAGAATTTTGAAAATTAGTATCTGATTTGTCACAACAGGAAATAACAGCTAGATTGATATATCTGGAGTTATTCTAGCTCACCAAATTCAGAGTGAGAGAGAAAAACAAAGTATGTATGACACCATTAATGAATCCTACCGTGTCTCCTGGCTGTGGACGCATCACAGACACACGATCATATCCTTTCCTTAGTAGGACCCACAAGGCATCCAGTTTTCCCTGAAAACACAAAACAAAACAAAACACCAAATGCATCAAGATTACAAGTGAAACCAGAGCAGTGGCCAACAGAGACATGTGGAACTTTCCATGCTTCTTCAGTCATGGGAACAACGTACCGCTGGCAATGTGGTCGTAACGGGATAAGTGACTCTCCAGGCCCTAAGTTCAAAATGGGGGCTGCAGGAGAGACATGTAACAAGACCCTGATGTGCATGCAGGATACATGCATGCGACTTCGGTACTGTCCCAAATTTGCTAACGCAGAGAAGTGCATTCAGGCTCTCAGCTTTTGCTCTCATTGCGTTTCTGGGCATATCCTCACACCAAAGTCAATCTTTTCAACTTCCACTGAAGTAGTAGTTTTTTCCTTCCCACTCAATGCCCAGAGTTCACAAATGAAACAATGATGACAAATTCAGGAAAACTACTAAACAGAACTATTGATGGGGCCAGACCAATTGAAGGCCCCTGGGATGCAGATCCCTGGGCTCACTCAGCACCTATGACTTGCTCAGGAATCCCAGGCTCAAGGGACAGATTACCAAAAATCTCAGAATACCCCAAATCACAACCCCTTTGGAGTTGTAGGTAATTGGCTGAATGTGAGAAGGGCGAGTCTGTGAGTGAAGTTTTCACAGCATATGATGAAGGGAAACTAATGCCTCTGGCCATTCTTGTCCCCTAGATGTGCTGAATGGAGGCTCATTTCCCCTGTCTCAAATACTAAAATGCAACAATGACATTTATTGAATTTTGCTCTCAGTATTAACCCTTAATATGTTACCTGCCATGGCAAAAGACTTTGCAGATGTGATTAAGTACAGGATCTTGAGATGGGAAGATTATCCTGGGTTATGCAGGTGGACCCTAAGCATGTGGGTCCTTGATAGAGGGAGGCGGGGGGCGGGGGGGTGGTCAGAGTCAGAGAAGTTGTGCCGACAGACACAGAGTCAGAGGGATTCCACGTGAGCGAGATTCAACCCACGGTTGTTGGCTTTGGGGAAGGGAGGGGGCCATAAACCAGTGAGTGTGGGCAGCTTCTAGTCTCTGGAAAAGACAAAGAGTCAGATTCTCCCCTAAAGCCTCCAAAAGAGACGCAACCCTGGCCTCGCCTTGATTTGAGCCCAGTGAGACCTGTTTTGAGCTTCTGACCTCCCGAACTGTAAAATAACAAAATTGTGTTGTTTGAAGTCACTAAGTTAGTGGTAGTTTGTTACAACAGCAATAGGAAACAAATACAGGCTTTATTAATCCCTGACGTACTCTATGTTTATTTGCCTATTGTCTGTCTCTGCCACCTGGAATGTCAATTCCATGAAAGCAGAGGTGTCACTGGGTTGTTAGTTGCTGTACCCCCAGCCCTAGTGCTCAGTAAATTTTGGTTGGATGAATGCGTGCATTCAGTGCTACTGAATAAGTGCTGGGCTAGGTGCTTCCACATGCGTCTTCTCCCAAACTCCCAAAGGATTATGGAGAGGAAATGGAAGGTCAGACTAACAACTAACTTGCCTAAAGCACAGAGCTGGTAAATTGGGAGGTGTGATTGGACCCTATGGCCGTGTAATTCCAGAGCTCATATACGTTCTATTATATTCCTTGTGCAGATCTTCTGGCTCGAGTACTTGGACTTAGATCCTTTAGAATAGGGTTTCTAAATGGTAGGTTGCAACCCTTCAATCCCTCATGAGACAGTTTTGTGTATTAGGACCAGAATTCTTAAGAAATAAAATAGAATAGGAAAGAGAATATTTGAGTCACTTGCACACGACGAAGATAACTATTATTTTGTGACAAATTTGTATCAGTTAAATGTGTATGGGTGTGTGTATATTGGTGAGTGTTTTAGCGCGCATTCAACGCACACATACTTATGTACTGAGCCAAACTGTATTTCCTACTGGGTCTCAGTGAGGCATGTTTGAAGATACTGATCTGGAAGAGGACTCTGAAGGATGGTGCTGAGAGGCTGGGGAAGTCCAGAGACTTCAAGTTCCTTGATACAAAGCTTTTGTAGAGGAAGCATCAATTTAAGAATGTCATCTCGAAGACTTCATGTTCTGGCATTCTCTTCTGGTGGGTTAGATTCAAATAAAATGTGCTCTTGAACTTCTATCAACTGTTGCTCAAGTTCTGTGGGTTAAACTTTGTCTTGCTAAGTGTTATGTTTTTCATCTCTTTTGGCAAAGTATTTACAAAAGCCTCTAAAAATATTTTGAAATGACTTTAGAAAGCTGGAGGGGACTGCTGCTGGGTTCAGCACGGTTTTCTGCATGAAACCATTTCAATCATCAGTTAAGTGTTTTCCTTGAAGGTTCCTTGGGGTAAGCATTTATATTTCAGGATGAAACCAGGTGGATTTCCTGGATGAATGCCTCTTTTTCTTTCCCTATTTTGGGGGGACTCCCAGTATTCATCCTTGTAAATCAGCCCACCCACAGCGTTCTGTGTGCTAATCACTCAACTGCTTGACAAATGAGGAGCAGTAAGATGGGGATGGGAAGAATATTTGCAGAAACTTAAATCTGAAGCTATGGGCAGAGCAAAAGAGCAGAGACCATCTGAATGCATAACACCATGAGAATCGGTAGTAAGGTTTTCTTGTGGCAACAGGTCATAGTGTGACGTTTAAGCCAAAAGTGACAATTCACACTGCCTGAGTTGGTATTTGGGGTCTGGCCCTCCCAGTTCTGCAGCTGTGGATGAGCTGTTTCATCTCCCTAAGCCTCACTTTTCTCATCTTTAAAATGGACACAATGGTACTATCTACCCTATCAGGTAACTACCCAATTAGATATTGAAGTTAGATACTTAGCTCAAAGAAAGTATTCGTTAAATGTTACCTATGATCATGGTAAAGTCATGAAAATGATCACTTGGGAGGCTCTGAAGAAAGATGGAAAAGAATGCAACATAGAGTGTAAGAAATCAGTAATGTGAACTTGACAAGCGTGTATCCATCCATCCTCCATTCTGTGCTCGGCCAACCCCTGCCCACTTCCTTCAGGCCACATTTCTCACTCCCCTCCAGCATGCTGTGGGCTGGCCTCTCTTGCAGCGTTTGGCCACAGTGCTTCACCAAGCTGCACTTGCTAAGGCCACCAATGGATCCCAACTGCCAAGTGCCTTGGCCACCGTTGGGTCTCATTTTTCTTTTTTAATTTTTTTTTTACATTTATTTATTTTTGAGAAACAGAGTGAGACGAAATGTGAGCGGGGGAGGGGCAGAGAGAGAAAGAGACACAGAATCTGAAGCAGGGTCCAGGCTCTGAGCAAGTGGCAGCACAGAGCCTGATGCGGGGCTCGAACCCACAAACTATGAGACCATCACCTGAGTCGAAGTCGGAGGCTCAACCGACTGAGCCACCCAGGTGCCCCAGCATTTTACTTGATTCTTAGATCTGATGCACTGGGCTTCTCCTTTCTTTACACTTTCCCTTGGCCTCAGTGCCATCAGCCTCTGCCTGCTCCTTCCTTCCTCCCCGGATAGGCCTTTTCAGCTTCTACCTGGTCCTCCCTTCAGCCCTCTTCAAGCCTCTCCCTCAGGCTGAGTGATCCACCTGGGAGGCTCTCACCTAGTCTCTGGGGTCAACTTCCATCTCTCTGCTGATGGCTCACAAATTCTACCTTCAGCTTAGTCCTCTCCTGAGCTCCCAGTCCAGTCACCTACCAAATCTTAGTTTTCATGCAGAAGTTATCACAGGTATTAAAAACGGAACTAGCTATCTTTCCCCAACCAGTTCCTCCTTTGGCATACCCTGCTTGGTTCCTGGCACTGCCGACATCCACATGGGCAAGCTGGACACCAGAGACTCACTGTCACCTCCTTGCCCTCTGCCACCTCCTCATATTCAACTCCAACCATGTCTTGTGGACTTTCTCTCTGTCACAGCTCTCCTGTCACTGCTTCCTGTCCATCCTGCCCCACTGTCTCCATGGCTACTGCCTGGCCCAGACCCTCATCATCTGTCACTCATCCTGCCAACGGTTTCCTGATTGGTCCTTTACCTCCAGGCACCCCCCCCCCCCCCAGTCCTCTCTCCTCTTTGATTAATGATGGATTTCATTGCTAGCTGTAATGGATGCTTTGCAGTTAATAAAATAAACCAGGAAACATCTTACTAGCAGTATGAATTTAGGCAAGTCACCTAACCTCTCTGTTCCTTAGTTTTTCCATTTGTAAATGGGAGTAGTAGTAGTTTCTACTTTTGAGGTTGTTGTAAAATAAAGGAGCGAGAGCGTGGTGTGTGGGAAGCCTCTGGAATTGTGCCCGGCCTGCAGTATGCATTTCACCCAGGTTAGCTGCTGTCCTTGGGTTCCTCTGGCCAAGGTGAGACCAGTTAGTTAGTTCCAGTTTTATTCCAGTTAGTTAGTGAGTTCTGGCGGTGCCACCAATGAGCCCAAAGTCCCACCTCTGTGGCATAGGACACCATCTGGGTAATCCACACACCCAACCTCTCCTTCTGCTCCCTCGTCAGCTTTTTATAGCTTTTTATGCAAGAGCTGAAGGAAGTTTTAGAAAAGTGGGTTTCTAACCAAGAAGAGGATACAAAATTACCCCCTAAGGTCAAAGAGAAGTGCATAACAAAAGCTGCTGGTGCCTTTATTTTTCTGAATGGAGGCAGAAAGCTGTCATTTCAAGACAGCAGCTAATGAGGTTTTTAATAATATCCCTTTGGGATGTGAAGAGCCTCAGGGGATTTTTCCAACGGTTCCTGGGATTTACCCGAAGTCTGGAGGTGGGAGGAAGGAGCCTTTGAGTTGACTCCCTATTTATCTCAGATTTGAGTGACCATGATGCACAGGCCTCTCCATAGGACCCAATTCAAGACATGGTCCCTCCCCAGGAGAAATGCCCAACTGCTTCTGTGAAGCTGGAAATAAAGATTTCCCTATTAACCTTGGGACCCTCTGTCAGAATATATTAGCTGGAATTTAAATATAGCTTTCTTTCATAGGACATTGATACATTTTCACTATAAAATGAGAAATTTACCAAT